TTTAAAGAGAAAAAAAGAGGGTGATTCTAATGCCATGTTGCCTGGGTTCAAATTCTGGCTCTGCCACTTCCTTGCTGTTATTTAAAATCTCTGAGCTTTTGTTTCCCCATCCGAAAAATGGGAGAAAATACCTAACTCATAGGGTTGTGGGTAGCTGTTAAGATTAAATGAGATGATGTGTACAAAGTACTTAGAATGGTGACTTGCACGTAATATTACATATGTATACACCCACATTTGTTTTTTTTAACTGTGTCAGGCCCTATGCTAAGAACTACACCTTAGAGACAAGCTAGAGATGAACTTTGTTTTAAAGATGATGCAATTTAAGTCAGTGTGCCAGGCAATTGCTTGTCTTCTCCCTCCCACTCCACTCTACCTTGGGGAACTCCATGCCCCAGCTCCCTTGCCAGCTGGCTCCCAGGTGGTTCAACTAACAGGAGGCACTGAAGGAAGGTTAAGAGCCGGAGAAAGAGGGAAGCCCAGTAGGAAACCAGTAGCCGGCAGGGGCCCTGTTCCCGTGGGATCCCCAGTGGGGCCCATGTCCTCCCAGTCCCTTCCACACAGCCCCTCACTCTGGTGCGGGCTCCCCCAGCTTCTGGGCCTTGTTAACACCATCTCCCCCATCCTCCCTCCAGCCCAGCGGTGGCCATGTCTTTCTGCCGTGGCTAATCTCAGGATTGTCCCTTCACCTGCCCTTTGTTTGGCTTCTCAGCTTTCCCAGCACCAGTTTAACCAATGCTCTGTATGAAATTCCCTGTTGGAAAGACCTGGCGAGGTCTCTATCCTCCTGGATGAACCCTTATTGACAAAGCAAGAAACATCCTCTTTCTGGTCTAGTTTCCTTACCCTCTGGATACAGGGGCTACAACCATTGTGTCTCATGTGGCCCTTTCCAGTTATAATTCACATGGCCTAGAAAAGCTAAATGATTTGCTCGGAGTCATACAGCCAATCAGTGATATATTCAGAACTGGAACCCAGATTTAAATAGGAAGGTATCATCCTGGCAGTGTGTTTCTCTCTTTAAATCTTAAAGTCCAGATTGTATGTATGCCTGCCAGTGCTCTACAGTGTAATTGTCCTCCCCAGTACAAAAAGCTTTCCCTGCCTTCTGGATTTTATTTTTGTGAACATTTTTGTAACCCAAGTTGATAGGTTATTTTTAGAACTACTGAGGCACACCAGTCATCCCAACTATTTGGAAAGCTGAGCAGATGGATCACTTGAGCCCAGGAATTTGAGTCCAGCCTGGGCAACACAGCAAGTCCCCAGCTCTTAAAAAAATAATTAAATAAATTTTTAAAAACAGAACTACCGAGGCTTCTGCACTACAGTTGAAAGGGCTCACTTACGTGGTTTAAGTCATTAGTCTGGGGGGGTTGAAACTTAGCAGCTTTCTACATTGAGCACCCATATTTTATGTGAAAGGTTAATGTGATAAAACAGTTGGATACTGTAAATCATACCACTGTCCTACTGACTCGAGCTTGGATAGTCCCTTTTATCTTTGGATTTTCGGCTTTCCTGTCTTGGGTTCAGGAGAAGTAATATGGGGTAGCAGTGCTACTATTTGAATTCCGGGCAGCCACTATCCTGTGCTTACATCAGCAACCCTGAACATTTAGCTGTAATAATTATTGCTTAACATTTATTGAGACCTGTCAGTGGGCTAGGCACAGAGATGGGGGATGAGGCACTTACCCTAATGAGTTGGAATGTGAAGCACATCGGCTTAATTCATTGCAAACAGCTTTCAGAGAAAATGGAACAGAAAGCTCTGTGGTGTTTTCTACTAGCCTGGTTATTTACAAGCCATCATGAGAAAAGTAAGAAAGTGCTCACTTCCTTTCTCTCTCAAGAGAGAACTTTCTTCTCCAGAATTTTCTAGACTATCCCAGCAACAATACACCCTTCTAGCTAGGTAGGCCTGATCCTGTGACTCCCTGATCCTGTGACCTGTGAGAGGCTTTGCAGCTTTCCAGGACAAAGGCCAAAGTCCTAAACTGGACAAACAAAGCCCTCATGGCATGGTCTGGCCTCAGCTTCCCGTTCTCAGCTTCCGCACCTCCCATCTCACATCCCCAACCCCAGCCCTGTCAGCAGTTCCTTAAATATCTCTCAGTTCCTTGATAACCCCGCACCTTTTCACTCTATGACATCTTCGCCCTTGTTATTATTTTTGGGTCCTCTCTGTTGTCTTCTGGACAGATTTCTACAATTCTATAAGAATCAGCTTAAAACTCACTTTCGATGCTAAGGTCACCCTGATCCGTAGGGGGTGTGCTCTTTCTTACTACTCATAGTAAGAATAGCTCTACCTCACTGAGCCACCTCCTCTGGGGCAGACAATGACCTACACATTTCCCTTTCCACAACACTGTAGGAGAGGGGTTTTTATCCCCACTTTATAGATGAAGAAATTGAGATAGAGAGGTTATCTCACCTGCCTAGGGCCACAGAGCTAGCTAGGAGGTGGCAGAGCCAACATGCAAGCAAGGTCTGTGGGATCCAAGAACACCTCGACCTCCTGGACCCTTCCTTCATCTTCAGTGCCCTCACAAACTCCAACTCCAACACACTCATGGGGCTTCAAAACAACAAAGCTGCCTGCCTCTCCTCCCACATAGATTATAAGCTCCCCCGAGCACCTTGCCTTCTCCTCTTTGTACCCTAGGGTCTAGAATACAGTGGGTGCTCAATAGATGATAAAATAAATTTTAAAAATAAATTATTTGTTATTAATTCTGCAGTCACCTGTGGTTCCTTCATGTAACTGTAAAAAACTTTCCTACCCTTTTCTTCTAAAACAGTGTCCCTTTACCTTGTCCCCATAAACTGGACTCCCTGGAGATGCCTGCAGCACAAAGACAGCTTTCGGCTGTGCACGGCTCCAGCCTGTCCCTGAAAACAGCAAAATGCCAGCGTGGAATAGAGTTTAACTCCCCTTCATCTCCCAAGTCCATTCTGCAGCCCTTCTCTGCCCACATCTTCCATCCTAGCTGCATTGCTTGGAGGAGGCAGAATAGTATAAGTTACAGGTTCGGACAGACCTGGGTTGGAGTCTAGGCTCTGTCACTTCCCAGCATGTGACCTTGAGCACTTTCAGAACGCCTCCACGTCATAGGGCCCTCATTTATAAGATGGAAGTGATCATAGAGTCTATCTCACAAGAAAAGGTGGTGGTCACGGTTAAATAAGATTATGCCTGCAGCATTTAGTCCAGTTCCTGCCAATAGTAAGTGCTCAATAAACCTAATTTATAATTACCATTATCCCATTTCTTGGTTTTGAAAATTTCTGTTCAAATGTTCATGGATAATGAAGGTATGAGCTAATATGGGTTTTAAATGTAATTCTACCCAGAAATATTCTCTTTATAAATAATGGCTCCTGAAGTTATTTTACCTTCAAAGTTCAAAGCAATAAAATATAATGGCAAAATATCCACCAGGGAGACCGAGATTTTGCTCAATCTCCATCAACTGACACTGCCCCTACACAGACAATTCCCCGTGAGATTCACTTAAGCAAATGAAAAATGGATCTTCACTAAAGCTTTTCTTTTTCTTTGTTTTCTTTTTCTTTCTTTCTTTTTTTTTTTCCTCATGCTAGGGACTACTTTGCCCAAACAGAAGACTCATAATCTCTAGGAGCATTCCTGTAGCAATTCTGGTTCCATCTTACTAGATTGCTAGGCAAAAGATCAAATTATCCTTTTTTGCTAATGTTTATCAAGTGCATTACCCTGTAAGCAAAACGCTTTACTCTTGTTCTCCAATTTGATCTTCATGACAGCTGGAAAAAACAGATACAATTATTTTCACCATTTTACATATGAGGAGATTGAGGTGTAGAGAGGTTATGTCACTTACCTAAAGGGCATACAGCTAAAAAATAGGGAAGCAGGGAATTGAGCCTATTCCTGTCTGACCCCAGAGCCCAAGCTCCTATTCATTACCTCATTCTGTCAATTTTTATTTTTTAAAAAATAGAGATGGGATCTCACTATGTTGCCCAAGCTGGTCTTGAACTCTGGGCCTCAAGTGATCCTCCTGCATTGGCCTCCCAAAGTGCTAGGATTACAGGCGTGAGCCACTGCACCCAGCCCATTCTGTCAACTTTTAAAACGGACTTAAGTAACTATGGTGCATTCCCTACTATTTTCACATATCTGGAACATCTATCTTTTGTAATCAGTAGTATGTTGATGAGTGTTTAACCACTGGGTCTCGGGGAGAAAAATCAGGGCTTGCTGATTTCTGTGGTGTAAATACTCCCATCATGGCCGATCTCAGGACACTAGTGTGATGTCAAACAGCTCACGAATTCCTGAAAATGGAACCATCGGCTCGCAAGAGCCGGTTCCTGTGACCTGTCCAGCACCAGCACACCACACTTACCATCCAAGTTAGAGAATAGATTTCCCAAGTGCTTCCACTCAGCTCGTCTTCCAGGTCAAGGATTCTCAATCCAGGCTACACATGTGAAGTCACCTGGGTGCTGATAAACATCTGCCCCACCGCCAGAGATTCTGATTGAATTGATCTGGGGTATAGCCAAGGCAGCAGTGTTTTTTCCTAACTCCTTAGATAATTCCTACGTGCACCCAGGATTGAGAAACACTGCTCTAGAAGAATGTCTTACTCACCACCCACTCATTCATCAACAATTTGATGAATATGCAATAAACTATGCCATATCTATACTGCTTTAATTTTTTTCAACTTTAGCTTTTTTGGGGTAAGTAACCAATGGTGCTTGTTTGTAAACTTTTATTTAAACTAGTTAATTCAACAAATGATTTCTAGTACCTTTTACTGTCATTTAAACAGTGGCTGGCACATAATAGAAAGGCAATAGAGTGTAGCTATCATCATTTTTTCATTATTGTTACCACTTTAATTAGTCTAACAACTTATAACTCTCTTATCCATTGCATTTTATAATTTGCACTTGGTTGAGTCTTAAGTGATTGATGCAAATATGTTTGTCCCCAGGACAAAATTTTCATCATCTCTCCCCAAACAGACCCAAAATCAGGGATCTTCCTTTCACTCGGAACAACCTAGCTCCCCTACCAGACCAAAAATGTAAGTATTATGAATCTTCCTCAGCTTTCTTTGCAAGTGTTAACATATCTAGACACAACTAAATGTTATTTCAGTTTACTTTCATTTTCTAAGGGAACATCAGGTGCCAAAACTTATAAATCACAGGAAAATAGAGACAATCTTTAAAGCTTCATCAAACTTAGTAATGCTTATTTAAAAAAAAAAAAGAAAGAAAACACTCCCTTTAAGAATTTTTGTGTTTGAACTATAAAAGCAATAACAAGTTTATTTTGCTATGTATTATTTAATGTCCTTAAGAAGAAGGTGCTTTAAAAATTCTTAAGACTGGCCTCTTGACATTGGTTTCCTTACTGTGTTGGACAGATAGAAATGTACGTTGTCTCTGTACTCATAGTCCCTGCATTCCTAAGCAAAAAGAAAATGCTGTTCAGCAGGATTACTTGTGGCATTATTGATTAATTTTATTTCATTTTTTTTTTCCTTTGAGACAGAGTCTCACTCTGTTGCCCTGCATAGAGTGCCATGGCATCAGCCTAGCTCACAGCAACCTCAAACTCCTGGGCTCAAGCAATCCTCCTGCCTCAGCCTCCAGAGTAGCTGGGACTACAGGCGCACACCAGGATGCCTGGTTAATTTTTTCTATTTTTAGTATTAACAGGTTCCTACTCTTGCTCAGGCTGATCTCCTGAGCTCAAGTAATTTTCCCGCCTCGACCTCCCAGAGTGCTAGGATTACAGGTGTGAGTCACTGCTCCCAGCCTTATTGATTTATTTTAAAATATTTTATACGAAAAAAATCTCTCCTAATACAATGCTAATATATTCCATTGGGCCAGTGATATTCAAACTTAAGCATGCTTAAGTCTCACCTGGGGTGCTTGTTATAAAGTAGATTTCTGGGCCCCACACCCAGAGATGCTGAGTTTGGATATCCTCATAGTACTTTGAGGTGGGTCATATCACTGTTTCCACTGCAGAGCCAGAAGCAAAACTACAGGACACCGAGTCTTCTGCCTCCTGAAATAAGCAATGTTTACAGGGTTCTAATTTCTCTCCTATTTTTCTTCCTATTTCACGCCACACCGTTTGTAACACACACACACACACACAGTCCCTCTACATCCTAATGGTAAGTTGGGTGATTTCAGAGCTGCCCTAACTATTTTAGACAAGTTTCTCAACCTTTCTGTACTTTAGTTTCCTCACTCTGTCTATAAGGATAGTCCAGCCTGATAAGACTAATGGGAGAATTCAACGAGACAACATGTAAAGCATTTAGCACACTGTTTGCACAAAGTATCCAATATGTCTCTTCTCCTGGGGGCGGGGGTGTGTGGAGGGTAGGGTTTGAAGGGGACAAACTAAGAGTTCTAGAACTCTTTTGATAAAAAACAATGAACCATGGGACCCTAGTACAACCCTGTCTTTTTGCAGATAAGAAAACTAAGAGGCAGAGGGAAATGGCCAAAGTCACACAGAGTTTAGTAGCAGAAACCAAGACCTCTTCCTTGACGGATCAGTTCCTCTGCCCTTTACTGATTTGTGTAAAGTGAGAGCTTTGGATGGTGTCAATTCCATCACTGAATGAAATTCAAGCCTGAACCCGTCTTTAAGCAGAAATGCAGCCACAAAGAAATCTGGTTAAGGAAAGAGTCGCTCAGTCTTGCTCCTGCTGGGGCTTGGAGAAGCCAGGGAAGGGAGGTTCTCTTTGGCAGAGCTCAGCAGCTTTGCCTTTCACAATTAAGTTTCAGGAGAGAAGGAAAGATAAACATCTTTGATCAACTTAGCTCTATGAGAAAGAAATGAAAGGGCACCCAGTGCCTTTCCTAAAAGAAACCTGAGAACCTTCTGAGGTTTGCATAAAAGCACAGCACAAATGGCTTGGGCTTGTTCAGAGCCTGGTGAGCAGTTCCTGAGCATCGGCACTACTCCACCCCAAGGAAGAGCTCTGCCAGGCACGCACAGCCCCATCGTGTTTTCTTCAAACGTGGCGCAGCCTTGTACTCGTGCACGTTTGAAATCCCAGCCTCCATGTGGCAAGCCTGGGCAGATACGTCTACATGGCTTCCCTCTGCAGTCCAGCTCTCACCGTGACAAGCTTCTTGGAAATGCCTCTGCCCCTAAAGAAACAACACACCTCTCCTGCCCCCTTCCTTATAAGACTCTGAGAGAAGCAAATCCTGAAAGTCTCTCATTCTGTTTTTCTCCCCAGTTCTCTCTGGAGAACCTCTACGGACAAACAGAGTGCTTCCTGCTATTCCAAGCCAGCGGGGACACAGCACACCTGCTGACAAGAGTGAGCACTCCGGCAGCCCCACCAAGGGTGAAAAGTGACTGTGGCCACTAACCGCAAGAAATAGAGATTATATATATTTTCAGCTCTCAAGGGATGAGATGACTCTAGTTCGTAAGAACAAAGACTTTAGTAAGCTGCATTCTATAAGCCATTCAGTTTTATAACTCAAAATTCTTTATTTCCAATAATGGTACTTCCTAAATAAGCCCTTAGAATCTTTGAGTGTGCATATATTGTAAGTCTGTGACTTTCTGTGACCTGTACATGCCAAAATTAAAAGACAAAATATGTTAGCAGGGAAATTTAGCTGTGTTTGGTTTGCTCTGTGGTGTTTTTGCTGCTTTTTGTTGTTGTTTGGTTGTTTTTTTGCTGAATGATTTTATGTTTTGAAAAAATATGTATGCTTTGCTGAATAAAAAACAAAAAAGCACATTTCTCAGACATGTTCTTCACATTTATTGTAATTCTACCTTGGACTAATGAAACTTAATTAACATTAAAGTAATAATGCCTATAATCAGTCACAGTTTATGGTTTTAAATGTACAATCCTCTGCAAAACATTTTCTGACGTTGTCAGTTCCTGGCCACAGCCCAAGTCACTTGACCATGTTGATCTCGCCTGTGCTATTTGATTATTTCCACCTGCTGTCGTTCTCAGATATTATTGATTGTTCTAACAGTGAGAAGGTCATATGCGTTGGAAAGGTCTACATCCTGGCCTGACAGAATTGAATAGGCATTTCTCACACATTCCTCAAATACTCTACATATTTATTTTTTTTTCTGTTTCAAAATAATGGTCTCTGCCTACTCAAGACCTTCCCAAACTTAAGACTTAGCAAAGTTTTTCAAGACTACTATTAACTGCAGACCTCCTTACTAAGATGTTTGTGTGTTGTATGGATTGATTTTGGCTAGAGGTCTGTATAAAGTTCAAGGCTGAGCCACATAAGATGATGGTCACGCTGTTACTCTGTTTTTTCTGAGCCTGCATGTTATTTTGTAAATATCTCAAGTACCTGTATAACATTTACTACTTTATATTAGTATTATTTGTTTAGAGAGGTCAGACTCTACCATTAACTAGAAAAAGCTCTTCTGGGGCCAAATCGCAATTCTTTGGCTTTGGACTTCTGGAAATTTGTACAGTGCCAGGTACAAAGTAGACACTCAATCTTTTCTGAAGGAAGGAAGGAAAGGAAGTAGAGAGGCGGAGAGGGAGGAGGGAGATTTACTGTGTGATAGTGAAATAGGTCACTAGTCCACAATCCCATTTGGACAATGATAATTGTGTGAATCAGAGACGGTAAAAGAGAAAGCCAAGCTAGACAGTAGCTAAAAGGAGGGCAAATCCCGTTACAAACAGAAGAGCTCTCACAACATAACTTCTGAAGAGTTTTCTTGTTTGTTTTGTTTTGTTTGCAGGCTGTTTTTGTCTTTGAAGAATCATTCGTTATAAGCATCAGACTGTGCAGCTGTTCAGTTGTGTCAGGAGGCTACTTCTAAATCCATGTCCATCCACGAGTAGATACCTGGCCTCCACTGCCTAGATTAGTCAGGACAGGCTGGCTTCCACTTCAGTAATAGACAAGCCAAAACCTCATTGGCTAACACAGTCTGTTTCTTATCTACAGTCCCTGTCCCACACCAGCTGACAGAGTTGGCTGATGTAGATTCCATTTCAACATGTGCTTCCTTGGCGACAAAAGCAGAGGAAATGAGAGGTGAGTATTATCATGTCCTCTCACATTTCATTTGCTAAATCACATGGACATGCCTAACTTCAAAGGAAGTAGAGAAATGTAATCCTATGTGTCTGAAAAGGGGAGAATTGGAATATTTATGAATTATCCAAAAGATTGGCACACTAACCAAAGCTCAGGCCCTGAGTGATTATCTAAGGACACTGGTATACCCCTCCTATAAGTAGCTAACTAAGAAGTCAAAGCAATTTGAGAACAAAAATGTACAGCTATAGAAAAAGCCTTCCCCTAACAACTGCACTTGTTTATGTATGCATACCCACACAGAATCTTACAATGTTGGAATTTCCCTCCATTAGATTTGATTTAGGATTTTTTTTTTTTTTTTAGCTAATAAGAAATATGCTACTCACTACCACCTCTGTAACTAGAGCTGCTGTCCTTTTGCCACCAGGTAAAGTTGCTTATTTAGTGTAGTTTCATCCTTGGCCAATGTTTTACTGGTCAAGTGAGGGACCATCTGCAATGCCATCCAGAAGTACAAACATAACCATTAATGTTACTTTTGCCTCTACTTTTTGAAATATACCACCGCATGTCTCTAGACAAGTGCATCCTGGCATTGTAAAGGGAAGATTTTGAAAACAACCTTCTAGAATCCACCCTAAGTTGAAATGGGGTAACTAAAAAGGAACATATTTGACCTTAGTATAAAATGTAATAAAATTTAATACCCAGGCTAAAAGCTAAGTTAATAAAGGAACATGATAACAGCTCTCACATGTAGTAACTAGCTTCTGATTGTCTTCAGGGGAAAAATGATATTTTAAAATCAAGAAATTCTATCAGAATCATATTGACATAGAAATGTAAATACTGGCAGATAAAGACTGTCAACAAACTGTACGTTTCTATCAAAACTGTAGTCTTTCAAAGCAAATGCCTTCCCATTCTGACCTTTGTTAGTCTAACCCTGGTTTTGGGGACAGCTGAATGAGTTCCAAAACATCCCAGAGGTCAAATCTGGGAAGTCAGTGAATAGATTTTATCAAAAGCTGAAGAGTTTCCAGTCAGCATGTTACACTAGCATAACTGTCACTAGAGGGACAAAGGTATTTTTCACACTGATATATGAAAAACAGGAAATAACTGGTTGGTTATTAAACCCCTAGTAAAATTTTTATTAAGAGTAAATGGTAAATTACTTTGCAACTGCTAGTTGTCTACAAAGTAGGGAAAATGAGAACAAATGAAAGACTCCAGTTCCCTCAGGAGGTTGAGCTGGAACCTAACTGGCTGATGGTAAAGACAGGAAGCTGAAGTTTTTGGAGACTGGGGCCAGCTGTACGATGGTAAGGTCGGGTGGAGGATGAAGGAGACTGAAACTGGCCCCACATAGGCAGTGAACCCAAGACATGAACCCCGACACAAGCAGACGACCATGAGCAACGCCTCCAGTGCACGGAAAATGACCCCGCGCCAGAGACGCAACAGTGAGTGACATAAAAGAATGAAGGAAATTATCTCCATTACTTCTATTCTTGTGACATAAAAGTACTCCAAAAAAGGCTTTAAAGGGAAGCCAATTACACTTACTACTTAGACATGGATAATAAAACGACAGGTTATAAGGAAGTAAAGCCACATCTTAGAGCTCAGAGAATTGTCTTCTGCAGTGAGCAAGCCAAGGGCTGGCCTCAGCCACAGAAGGAGGAGCTCCATTTCCCCCGATGACTCTTCACATGTTGCTCACAGATCTCCAGGAGGTACAACAGCAACTTCATTTCATCAGGGCTCAAGAGTCAGATTTGATCGAATCCCACCTATGAGATATAGGGCTGCAAGCGTTATGCTCCTCCATCAGGTTAAAAAAGGAGCTAAAGACCCTAAAAATGGGCTCACATGCAATACTACTGAGGCGAACACTAACTGTATTTGAAAGTGCTTATTCAGACTGCCAAGCTAGATGAGAAGAGCAGAGCTTCTAAAGGTCTGTAAGAGAACAGCAATAAGCAGGAGTGAAGCCACCCAGCATCGTGTTTTCATGTTTTATAGACAGAGGGACACCACCAGAGAAATTTTCTCAGGTAAATATGATAAAGCCAAACAAGCTTTTGAATTCAAGAAAAACTAAAAACCAAGGCAGTGCTCTCATGTGTCCAAGTAGCCCACTCTAAAATATCAATCCCAGTGTTCTCTGACCAAGTGATTTTGGAGGAAAAAAAAAAACAAATACAGAGATAAAATAAATTGAAAAGACATTGGAATCACCCCTCCCTTGAATCTCTAGCCCCTGAGAGCTACCCATTAAATCTCCATCATAGGGAGTTTAGTGAAATGTCTGCATAACACCACCTGCCCTTTGCACGGCCTGTCAGCACAGAATGAAGATTCAAACTTCCAGAAAGCCCTTTGTGTTATTCTAATAAAAAGGCTTATAAAGTGAATACAGTTTACTACCAGGGTGTGCTGGAGCCAGCTCTTACCAGCTTACAAGGGTCGATTGTTAAATCCAGTATTCAGGAATTGTGTGAACTTGTTCAACCATGGGTTGCTTGAAATTGCCATGATGGGAGTGTTTACACCAGGGAAATAGGCAAACACTAAAAATCTTTTTTGTAATCTTTAAGCATTAAAAGCACTTTAAATACTTTAAAGATACTCCTTTGATAACACTGATGTTGAAGAACAGGACTCATGCCTGTCTTGAGGGCAGTTATGACATACCTAGACCTTACTGTATTAAATTGTAGTATTTCATGGGATATAATTTAATACAAGAGATAATAAAGCCCATATAATATATGAATGCATGATTCAGCACTGCACCCAGAGTGGGATTTCCCCTCAGAGCTCATCATAAGCCATGTGGCATCTTAATGAGTATTCATGGATGATCACCGTTTCCCCGTTACCTTGTGAGCCTACTCACGGCTCACAGCTCACAGCTCAGGTTCATCAGTTTTTTTGTTCAAAGTGCATAGCCTGGTCTTACTGTAGGCAGCACTGCCTGTGGCTTCACATCTGACCTTTTACCACTCCCACACCCTGTGAACACTCAGGACAGACATGTGTACCCTCTTCAATTCCCCTTGTAGCTAAGAAATAAGCACCAACTTCTGGGAAGGAGTCAACATCAGGCAGGAAATGGATGTGACAGTGCCTTCCCTTTGCCAGCTCTTCCAGATTTAGGGGTAAACAAGTGTTCTACAGACAGGCAAAGTACAGATCTTTTGTGCAGAAATGGATAGACTGGGGTCTGAATTACTTGGCTGTTTATATAACCAATCACTATTTGTTGGTAAGGAGGGGGCTTAGTTTAAATCACATGCCCCAAGAACTCAGATGTCACTCAGATAGGCAGGAAGGCCTCCTAGGGATTCAGTCCTAATGTCAAGATCTGGCAATTATGTCCTTTTCTGGCACGTACTCTCTGGCCTTGGCTTAGCTCGTTCTAGACCAGCAACAGGTGATTGTAACACATTTATGTTTTCATGTTTTCAAATTTATTGACTGCACTGTGGGAGGTTCTGTAGAAAGAAATACGTGGAGTGGAAAAGGTATAATGAATTGATATGACATTAAGTGATAAGACTTTTCATAAATTTATTAGAGAAAAAAGCCATTACTTTAGCTATGTATCCTCTGTTTTGGTTCTTTATTTTTTATGATTTGAAGTCAATAAATTCTCTTTTAATAAAACTAAATATTAAGTCTCAAAATTATTTCTCTGGTTTTATTCTTCCACTCAAAATTATAGAGTTCCAGAGTCACAGTTTCAGAGCCTTAAACAAACAAACAAAAAAAGGCTCTGGACATG